TGGGCGGGCACCAACCCGCTCTGCGAATCCTCATTGGCCAGCGAGGTCTGAAGGGCGGGGCCGCGCGCCCCGTGCGCTGCCGGGAGGAACGCCGCCATGGTGGCCGGGCCTGCTTGGGCCGCCATGACACAGCCGCGACAACAACACACACGTTGTTCCCGGCGGCTCTGCGCTCCCACAGCAGAGAGAAAACCCGCTCCGCCCCCATGGCATCTAGCACATCGCAAAGCTGAGGAAAGGCCTGGCGCAACTCCTGAAATACAGGCGAGCAGGCCTTGGACTCTAACTGCACTATGGCCTCAGCTGAGCACTTTATTTTGCCATGGTTTCAGATAAGAGAATGTGAAGTGTGATTCAAAATTGCAAATGTAGCCAGAAAAAGGAAGAAACGTGGAACGGAATAATTGATTCTGAAAGTTTGCTCATCTGCCTGCTGCAGGCCTTTCTACACCATCAAGCTTACAATGTATCTGCGCACAGATACACTGGTGATACTTTCACCAGCCTTTAGTTTAGCTTAAAAGTGACTCTTGTTGATTTAATTTGAACTTTTCTCCAAACTTAGCTGAAGAAAAATCCTAAACATCTTTGACCCACTTCATAAGCTGTTTCTTTATACACATACTTATTATCAAAGCTCTTAAGAGATCTGGAAGGAGCAGGACAGCCTCCCCCTTGTTTCACCTTCAGGTTCCAGAGGTTGCACATTTCAGGCAACTGTAACCACTCCCGCTACCTTTTTTTCCTTTTAGAACTTAGACTGTAAAACGCATAGGTTACTTTAAAATGAAGCATTCATTGTTTTCTGAAGGGAACATAAAATAAACCCTGCTTAAAATTTATATTCTGAAGCAACAAGAATATAGGCAATTAGATGTTGACAGAAAGGATTCCATTGTTATCACATGGATTTTCATCTTGTTTGTCCCAAATATACTGTTTATTATTGTAGTGGAGGATGGAAAAGTACAGAATATGTGTGAAATTTTACTGTTCTTACTCAGGCAATGCCTTTTCTTGGAACAGTTTGGGCCACAACCGGGAGTTCCAGTGTTTCATGAACAAATTACCTATGAAGACAGAGAGAGCTGGGAAGTTACATCATATTTAGTAGTGCACTACATTAAAAAAAAAAAGAAATTAAAAAAGAGTTTTAAAACTAGAGAATATTTGTGCCAGAGGAATCAAGGCCTAGCAATGATAACCAGGGCACTCACCAGACCAGAGGAATGGTTCTGCTCTAATTTTCTCACCAAATTCTGCTAAAACACAGAGGTTCATCCTGGAAAGAGGGCAAAGGGCAGCAATTAAGCCCAGGGCTCAGCAGGAGGCTCCCTCCTTCGTCCAGCGCCCCCTCCCAACAGCTCCTCGCTCCCATTCCCTGGCTCAGGCCTCCCACCCAGGGCAGGAGATATCTTTAAAAAATGAGATAAAACAAAACAAAATAAAATAAAATAAAATAAAATAAAATAAAACAAAATAAAATAAAATAAAATAAAATAAAATAAAATAA